TTTTTCTTACCAACCTATCACATCATACTTTTATACTAATAATCTATCCATCACATCTATCTTTTACCCATCACATCAAAATTAGAAAGTCAACCACAAATATATATAAACCTTTTATTTTAGCCTAAAGTTGAAATAAGAATGGTCTTGAAAAACAAAGAGAGTAGATGTTTTAAAGAAATGAGGACTCTATGGCCATTTAGAATAGGGATTGAATACTGCCCCACCGCACGCTTCCCTAAGGCTGGCCGTGCCGCACTGCCAATGTGAAAGAAGAGCCGCGTTTTACACTGCGGTGCACGTCCCAGTTCTCCGATGCAAAATTGCGGCGGCTGTCAATTCAATCTCATCTCACTCAAATAACATTGTTTCCATTTTCTCATTGTTCAAAATGAAGTCTGAGGACAACATCTTCAACTTTGATAATTCCGAGCTCAAAATCGCCATTCGATTTGTAAACTCTAGTTCTTTACTCAGCGACGAGTTTACCCCGTTCTTGGGCTCCAACAAAGCCCCTACCAATTGTTGGTCGTTAATACAACCGACTATGATGTTTCTGAGTTGGAGCCCAATAGCGAAGGCGTTAGCAAAGGGAATGCCAAAAAGACGGACAGACTGAAGAAGTATACCCCGGTGTTAATTCTGAGATTGGCGAAGTACTACGTCGATGGGTCACAGGATGCCATCATCGGCAACTACCAGAAATAACAAATAGTCTCGAAGCGTGTTGCGGCGAAGTACAACGCCGGGAGGCCTGATAGTTCGCTCGTACGTGACGGGGAGATGCTTCGGAAACACTAGATCCGAAGACATGGTTGTAAGTCCAGAAGTTCGGTGGCTGATATGGCAACGTCTTCAAGACATGGTTGTGGGTTCTACGCCGAAGACATTATGACAAAGACATTGAACCTTTATTTTGAATTGAAGAAGAGGGTTTTCAAGTTCCAAGAAATTTGGAAAATTCTACAAAAGAGCCCCAACTTTAGCTTCAGGGTCGAGGCTGGAGGATCGGGACTGAAGCGATTCAAACTCTCCAAGACTGGTTCGTACTCGGCGAGCGGGGGCGGACATGCATTTCATCGACCTCAACGCCACGAGGGATGACTTTTCCCATGGATCGAGCGACGAACCAAGGGGTCAAAGCCACCCGATCGGGTCAAAGGCGGCAAAGAAGGGGAAGGCCAAGACAACGGCTCCTAGCATAACACCCCCACCCGAAAACCCGGCTTTGGACATAATGAATAAAAACTTTCCCAGCATGAGCTTCGTTGTTGATTGCACCAACCTCAGCAAACTCATGACAATGGATACGTCGAGGATGTCGGAGATGGGCAACTCAATAGCATTTATTTTTTAAGTCTTTATTTTTCAGTCTTGTAATTTTAATTTTAAGCATGTTAAATTTCTCCTTTTATTTATGTAGTACTTCGTAATTTAATGTTGTATTCACCTTTTTTAATTGTTACAATCTTTTTTTAATTTTCTAAAACTATTCGTTTTTTTTGTTTAAAATAAAATTTTGTATAAAATTCATTTAAGTTTTAAATTAAAAAATGATGAATAATGTAAAAGAAACAAAGAGATGAATTTTCAAGATGGTAACATTACAAAATTTTGGGACTGAAGGACAATGGAATAATGATATAGGAGGAATTGTATATTCTTAAGGGTTCGTTTGATATACAGAATTGATGGAATTAGAATTGATTTGGAATTGAAATTCCATGGGATTCAATTCCATGTAATGGAATTACGCCAATTCTAATTCATTTCTTGCTCTATCAATTCCAAATCCACATAATTTTTGTGCTACCAAATACCAGAATTGGAATTGAAATCTTCAATTCCAATTCTATAGTTTGAATTCCGCGTACCAAACGGGATCTAAACTCAAATCACCTACCGAATTCGACTAGGCGCAGATACGGTTGTGGATCCATATAAGAAATCACGAGACAAATGTATGGCAGCAAGTGCAAGCTGTACTGTACTTGGCAAAGATTGAAACAGGTCAAGCCACTACATGACACCAAACCTGTTTTATACGGAATGCCTCGTCTTCCTCTCCTGTCCTTTGTGTTCTATCTCTTCATATTTTTCCCCAACCTAATAACGAATGAGTCTATCTCTTGCCTCTGCTGGGATAAACTTTCCTAAGAATATAATCTTCGAGAGTGGCCTTCCTACCATTCGAGCCACGGATGAAATTTATTCACTTTTTTAATTCGTCTCAAAGTGTTTAAACGTTACTCGGTACAATTTCCAACATACTCTTTCTGTTCTAAAAATATTGCCTCATTTCGATCGAGCAACCTGTAGATGACGTATTGTAAAATTAAAATAAAATGTGGCAAATCTTTTATCATCAAATAATGGTCATTAAAATACACCAACAATAAACAAATAGAAATCACCTTAAATAGGACTAAAACATAGAGAAAAGTACCAAAATAAGACTTTCATGTTTTTTTTCCCGGAATAAGACTTTGCACTGTGGTAATGTGACTTTGCATTGTGGTAATGTGGCAGTGTACATGGGCAAATTATTATACTTTTTTGGTAATGTATATGACCATGTTTGGTAATGTAAGTCCTATTTCGGGAGTAAAAACATTGAAGTCCTATTTTTGTATATTTTCAATGTTTTAGTCCTACTTTGGTCTTTCTCCCCTAAACAAAAGTTATCGGAAGATTAGAACAATAGTTCACACGATATTTTTGGAATGGAGTGAGTAAAAATTAGAATGTAACTTAAAATATTTCATATACGGAGTATCTAAATAAAGTTCAATTACCCGCTTTTTAACATTGTTTTTTGGAAGGCGCTTTTTAACACTTAAATAAGGATTTTTTTGGGAATAAATAGAGATTATTAATAGGGAGAAGGACCAAACTAGGAGTAAAAGTTATGTTATATTCTCAAATAGGAACTACGGAGTAATACTTAAACTCCTCTAAATAGGAGTAATTAATTAATTTTTGTTCTCAATTCTCGGTTGTCACGCTGTCTTCTCCCTTCCTTCGTTTTTTTCTTTTCTTGCATGCGTGTGTATTTACACACTTAAGGGGGGGCTAGGCATTGGCATTGACTTATGGGTAGGAATTAGAATAGATTAGGAAATTGATTATTTATTATTATTATATTATAAAATTTTAATATTTATTTATTGAATTCTAACATCTATTTTGATCTTAACTTTTTACACCAAAGTCTAAACTTAACAAACTTTATGTTATTAGTCACTTTTTTACGAGATCAACCCAATTACCTATTTTTTGAATTAAAAGGTTGGCTTTACAAATAGTTTATATTTTTGAGTCAGAAAATAAAATAGAACATTATTTTCTTATCAAAATAACGGCTAACTACTAATTAAGCCGGCTAATTTTTTTACACAAAGTTAATATATTGTCAATAAGTGATTCTTTTAACTACATTGTCAAGGGACGACAACAAAATCACACCCAAAGCTCAGTACCATAGACAAATACGGTTATTTCTACCTTGCTCCTGAATATTTATGTGTATCGTTATTCACAACTCAAATATTCTGATTTGATGGTTTGACATTCTTAGGAAGAGAAAAAAATTGATAAACATCACCTTTAAGTGTTGCCTCAGGCCCATAGAGTGTCAAACAAGACCACATACTTAATGCCAAAAGTCTTAATCAATAAATCTATATATGAGACTTGATTAATACCTTGTAAATATATGTCAAAATTCTTAAGCAATAAATAGAAACTCAGTAAATTACTAAAGTAAAATGTATATACATTATCAAACAAGACTACATTTAACGCCACAAGTAACCGCATAATGACTATTATTTCATTGTATAAAGTCATACATGCAAATGCATAATGCTAAACCAAGAGATAATGCCAAAGATGCCAAAGATGATAGTGCCACATTTGGGAATGTATAATGACAGAAATGCCAATGTATAATTTTACATATAACAAATATGTCAATGCATAATCTCAAAAAAATTAAACATCAAGAAACTCTAGCTATTTGCCAACACACTAATAATTTAGTTTCAATATATGTTTTACAACATGTTTTCTAAGAAGTAAAATTAGATTTAAAATCAAATGTCACAACCTATGTGAAATTGAATATAAAATTGATTAAAAGTTTCAAACTCACACAAGGATAAAAGAATTAGTACCAATTTTACAAAATAATTCCCGAAAAAGTAAAATTTTAGTTTTAAAATTGAATTTAACTACTTATGTAAAATTAAATATCAAATTGAATTCAAACTTACCCAAGGGGACGGAGGCATCCGAGCGATGAAAAATAGAAATGGTGGAGAGGGGTGGAAGGAGATTGTGTGTATGAGAGAAAAGGAGATGATGGAGAGTGCGGTGGAATCATTACCACATAGAGAAGATGGTAGGGACGGAGAGGGGATTGAGATTAAGTTGACATCGTCAGCAATTGAGATTAAAACAAAAGAGATCGTAGAAGGATGGGATTGGGAAGGGTCTGGGTGACTTTTTTGACCGCATAGGGCTGGGATGTGGTGTGGTTAGTGCGGAAAAGTAAATCAAAACGAAATTTAATTAATTACTCCTATTTAGAGGAGTTTAAGTTTGAACTTCTATATTAAAGATATGATATATGTTTTACTCCTATTTAGGGGGTTTTCTTTTATTAATATACTAGAAAAGGAGAGAATGACCTCAAACAAAAACAAAGAACAAAAAAGAAGAAGAAACGAGCAGAACTAGGGGTGGACACGGTACGGTTCCGGGACGGTTCCGGTTCCGGAACCGCCGGTTCCGGTACCGCCACCCCATGGCACCGGTACCGTGACCGGACCGGCCGGTACCGGTTCCGGTTCCCGGACCGGCGTTTCCGGTACCGGACCGGCCGGTTTTGCCTCCCCCCACTTTTTTTTTTTTTGCTTTTTTTAATATTTTTGAAGTGTGCAGATCTGTTGAAGACTAATCCCTCTGTGTGCCGATCTGTTTAAAGCAATCCGAATTGCCGATCTGTTTAATACTCCGTAATTTTTTGTTGCAGCCACTTGTTCCTCCCGTTGAAGACTAGTTCCCCCTTTCCCTTTAATGTTTCCCTTCTTTTTTTTTGCAGGTGGACAAGTGGTTGGCNTTTTTTTTTTGCTTTTTTTAATATTTTTGAAGTGTGCAGATCTGTTGAAGACTAATCCCTCTGTGTGCCGATCTGTTTAAAGCAATCCGAATTGCCGATCTGTTTAATACTCCGTAATTTTTTGTTGCAGCCACTTGTTCCTCCCGTTGAAGACTAGTTCCCCCTTTCCCTTTAATGTTTCCCTTCTTTTTTTTTGCAGGTGGACAAGTGGTTGGCAGATCTATTGCAGGTGCAGGAAAAAAAAAAAAAGTAACGGTACCGGCGGTTCCGAGACGAAAATTTGGGTACCGGTACCGGTAGCGGTTGGGGCGGTTCCGGTACCGGTTCCCGGCACCGGTGGGACGTGCCGTGCGACGGTGACGGTAGATGGTACCGGCGGTACCGTTGCCGGTAACGGTACCGTACCGGTACCGTGTCCAGCCCTAAGCAGAACACCACTAGTTAATGCGTATTCCACGTAATAATAACATGTTTGGCTAAAGCTTCCTTTTGTCCTTCCATTATTGGAGCAATTTAAGCGTTGTTCGTTGTAGTTACTATTGTTGGTGGAGTTGTTGTTATTACTCCATATTATGACTATTATTATGATTATTATGATGATTATTATTTAGTATTATTATTATCATTATTAAAATCAACTCAATTAAATACTAAAGTTTGTAGTACGTACGTTGTAAAATAGAAAAAGTTTTATACTCTAACAAGTCATTCACATGTAGACGAGATTTGTGTTTGCTCGATCAAGTTAAGGCTTGCACGCGAACATTAATTTTTGAGTAAATTTCATAAATGGTCCTTAATTACATGTGATTTTCCATATTTACTCCCCAATCTCAAGATATTACATAAATGGTCCTCAATTTCTTAAAACTATTACATCATCGGTCTTTCACGAATTATATGTGAAAAAAGTATTTTGACATATTTGGCCTAAAAGACTTTATGGAATAATTTTCAAAATTTGAGGATTATTTATGTAATATCTTAAGACTGGGGACTAAATATGAAAAATCACTATAACTAGGGACCATTTATAAAACTTTACTCTTAATTTTTTAAAATTAAGTGATGAGAGGTTTCAACTTGTGACTTCGTGGTGAGCAACGCTCTAATGGAATGTATCTTTGTCAGTTATGAACCCTTTAGCAAAACGTAATCGTTGTTTTAATACCATGTTAAAAAATCAACATGATCAAAAGCTCTAACTTTATTGCTTCGATACCATGTTTAGAAAATATAATTGCTTGAGCCCAAAGCAATATATATATACTACTCCGTACTATTTTGACCCGTGCGGTCGAACGAAATTTTTGTCAATTCTGAATTTTTTCAGTGCAATATATATTTCAGAATGGACAACAACAACAAAGTAGAATAAATAATATTTGACGAATTGAAAGTATACTCGAAAAAATCTTTTTTTTATTTCAAATTTTCTAAAAGACTTCAAGGTACACAACATTTTTGGCATGGTTTCAACTTGTCAGGATTTCTTTTGTCATCTAGAACCTATATTTGTAATCATGTCTTTGTTTTCATTTGTGAAACAGTAACATACAACTGACCATGGATAAATACCGAATTGGTTAAAAATAATATAGCAAATGACAATGTTTGATCTTTACTTTTGTTAATCGTCATAGCAAAACATAAGACTATTGAACTATTGCGAATTGTCCTGAATTACATGGTACCAAATTCATTCGGGGTTTGTAAATGTTTTTCTCAACTCGATTTTCCAAAACCACAATTGCACTGATAATGTTCTTTCGTAGCTCTTCAATGATTAATTTTCTACCATTATATTACACAATCTAGATGTTTGGTCAAAGTCCTTCAATAACTTAATCGGTACCCTTTTTTAAAACTATTTTGTGGTTTCGGATCAAGAGCATTTGATTTCATTAAAAAATTCAACTGTTTTTCAATCATTTCCAACACCTACATCTAAATATGCTTGGCATGAAGAATCTGAATTTAAGTACTCCTTTTCATATCTTAGAATAAGAGATATGACAAATTCATTTACCATGCAACAACCTCGAGCATGAGTGTGAATAGTGCACTATCTTTAAAAAAAAGGAATAATTTTTCATGTTCTCCAATAGGTTCCGATAAGTGAACTCCACTATACTATTCAGGGATAACTTGTGTCAAGAATCAAGAATTCGGGCGAGATTTCAACATTAGTAGTTCCGACAATCACTTGACCAAGATTTTCATCTCCGACTTTGATTTTCCAATTAAAAAAAGCTTGTGTGTCCCTCTCTGTGCAAGAGGGCGTAGAAGAATGCAATATCATATTTTTGGTCAATGGAACCACTTTACAATACAACCATATTTTTGAGGAATTGGTGGGAGCACCTACAATTTCCTCTCTCAAAGTTTTGTCATTATCAAAAAGGGGGAAATTGTTAGAAAGCATTTTAACATTGATGTTTTGTTAATGACAATGCTTGTTTCCATTTAGATTTTGACATTGACAAACCGTCAGGAACATGGGACAAAATGAAAAGATTCAAAGTCATAGCAAAAGCTCTTTGAAGGAACAAAAGCACAAGAAAGGCATTGACGTTTCTAAAGACGACGAGATTGGCGTTTTGAAAACTTTGTCTAAAGACTTAAGTTTTTATTGTAACAAGCTCATTCAATTTCTCTACGTTTTCATGCATCAAATGAGTATTTTCATAAATGGTTTTAAGTTTCTAAAACCCCTGGTTCTTGCCCAATAAAAAACCATAACCATCGGTTATCAGCGTTCAGTTTTCGGCATGGGTTATTGGTATTGATTTTAGCCAAATGGTTTTTGGGTTTTATCTTTTTTTATTCTGAGCACATTTAAAGGTTTTCCAAATGATTAGTTTTCAAAAACCATAACCTTTGTTTTCTGGCGCTGGTTATCGGCATTCGGCGCTGGTTATCGATGGTCAAAAATATGTCAAAAATATGGCTTTGGCGTCCAAATCAATCAAGTGGTTTTTAAGATTTTATGATTTTTTTACTTCTGGGCATATCCAAATAGTTCTCCAACAAAAATATGTCAAAAACCACCTTTCGTTTATGGTCTTTTGGTGAAAACCATGTGAAACGACATTAACTTGGCTAGCCATGGTTTTTACATTAATGACGTGGTTTTTAAGTTTTTATAGTTGTTTTCTACATAAATAACATTATATAAGAATTTCCAACACTTGGTTTTCATTTTGGAGAACTTGGTTTTTGACATCGGTTTTCGGCGTTGGCAGCCAAACCATAGTTCTAGCGACCATACCCAACATAGATGTTATATTTTGAACATAGATGTTTGGAAATTGATGTTGGGATTTGAACATCGATGTCAGAATAGCGATGTTGGACTTTGAACATCTATGTTTTGGCAAGGTTGGCTCACGTAAGTCTTGGGTAGTAAGTTTTTGAACAGCGATGTTCATTGTTGAACAGCGATATTTTCAAATGACCGTTGGGATACTTAAGACAAAATCTTTCCATTTTTGAAAGTCAATCACCCCAACATCGATATAGACTCCTAGACATCGATGTTTTGATGACCGTTAGCCCTTTTTAAAGGAAAGTCAAAGTCAAAACAGCGATGTTCACTATATGAACAGCGATGTTAGGCCAAAGTTTTGTAGACCAACTTCGATTTGATTTCCACAAATCATGCCGTTAAACCCCAATCAACTCTTATCCATTACACATCATTTTTGGGTATAAATAGGGGTCTTTTGGGTCTACTTTTCACAACCATTTCTCACACATTTCATAGCTTTACATTGCATCATTCCATAAACTTTTTACATAGCTTTAATTTTTAGAGCCATTTCTTGAGGAATTGAGTGTGTTCTTGATCTAAATTAGTTTACTCATATTCTACTCATTAAGAGAGTTTTTATTCTTAAGTGGTTAAGTGTTGTGAACACTTTTAGGGAGGTTTGTTCCCTTGGTTGTACGAAGGAAGGGCATATTCCTTTGTGTTGAAGTCTTGGAGTCCAGTATCTCTGAGCAAGTGTATTGAGACTCGTCGGACTCGAGTTCTCAGGTTGTAACGGTTTGTTAAGCACCCGTAAATTTAACGGAAGTAGTGTAGCTCGAGAGAGTCTCTCGGGAGGCTGGACTAGCCACACGTTGTGGTGAACCAGGGTAAAATCGATGTGTTCTTTCCTTATGTTTTTTTATTCCGCTCTTTACTTTATTCATGTATTTTTATCCCGTGAAAATTTATAAACATTCTCGTGTCTCACTATTCACCCCGCTATAGTGAAGGGCACTAATTCTAACATAAATTTTTATCTCTAGCTACAGTTTTAGTACGCGTTCTTAGGCTAGTAATCACTATTGGGAGCTTAAATTTTTGTTTTTCGCTGCCCTCCCAACCGTGGTTACCTTTCAAGTAGTCTGATTGTAAGACGTGCCTCAGCCAATTGCAAGGATGGTGAAAAGGTGTCCTGGTTTGGTTGTAGTAATATTGTTCGCCCAACACCACACCAAGAGCTGAGAGCCCGGCTCATCAGTTGGAACTATGTTCCTACCTAACTAGTGGTCTTGTGGAGTAACGCCCAAGCGGAACGCAAGATAATGAAATATGGAGATAATTAATTAAAGGCCTAATTAATTATTAAACATGATAGATAAACTAGTTTGCAAAATTTTCTATAGATGGCAACTAACAACAACAACCCTTTCAACCTGCGATATGTTCTAGAAAAGGAAAAATTATCTAGAACCAACTTTCTTGATTGGGAGATGAATATTAAGATTGTTCTCGAATGCGAGAAAAAGCTCTACGTCTTTACCTTCGAGCCTCCCAAAGCTCCTGAAGCGAACGCCCGTGCTACAGAAATTACTTCGTACCGAAAGTATAAAGATGAGGCACGCGATGTGAGATGTCTCATGCTAGCCACCATGACCCTGGGGCTCCAAAGGCTCCACAAGGACATGGAAGCTCATCCTATGATGACTCGCCTGAAAGGTCTATACCAAGGCTAAGCTAGACATGAGCGTTTCAAAATTTCTAAGACTCTGTTTTCTAGTAAGCTGGCAACGGGTAACCCAGTTGGTCCCCACGTTCTCAAGATGATCGGTCATATCGAAACTCTTAAAAAACTGGACGCCCCATTGCACCCCATGCTGGCAACTGATCTCATCTTGGGATCACTACCAGCTGAGTATAGTCAAACTGCAGTGAACTTCTACATGAACAAACTAGAGATGACTATGCGTGAGCTGCTGAAATTCCTCACAACTACTAAGGAGAGTTTAGGGAAGGGGAAGGGTAAGTCTGTCCTGATGGTAGAGGGCAGTAATGTTACGAAGAAGAGTGGGCCACGTTCGCCGACCGGGACCAAGCACAAGGGTTCTAAGAAACCCAAGCCAGCGTCCAGCTCATCTTTGTTAAAACCCATACAAGGAGTTGAGAAGAAGTCTGCTGCATGCTATTATTCTGGTAAAAAGGGCCACTAGAGGCGCAACTATGCAAAATTACTTGCAGAGAGGAAAGAGGGAAAGAAACCTCAAACCTCAAGTATCTTGGTTATTGATAGGGGTGTAAACGGATTTCAATCAGATCGGATGTGCCTTTACCAAATCCATATCCGTTTATTTTTGTCGGATATCAAATTCGGATACGGATCTTAACGGATACTGAAAATCAAAACCGTATCTGCATCCGTCGGATATCGGTCGGATATCAGATATATCCGTATCCGTTTCCAATTTTTTAAACCAAATCAAACAATACTTTAATTTTCAATTAAACTAAATCAAAATATTATTAAATCAACTATAATTTTTTATGGGATAATTATTTTCTTATTTGTTTATAGTTTATGATATTCTACGATGATTTCATATCATAAAAAGATATACACAGTAGATATATACACACACTTTTTATATGTCTACACATATTTTTATGTGTCTACACATATATTTTACATATAAAAATATCTTATACTTTGAGATATCAATAGAGAAACAAAATATAAAAATAAAAAATAAGGAAAAACTATATATAACAGATCGGATACACGGACAAACGGTTATTTAAATGGATGTCAATGCGGAGCAGATTATAAACAGATCAGATGTGTGATTACCAAATTCGTATCCTTTTAGCAATCGGATATCCTTAATCGGATACGGATAATAACCACTTTTAGCAGATGCAGATATTTTCCATATAAACAGATACGGATGCGGACGGTAAATGAATTTTAGGTTATCCATTTACATACCTTCAAAGCTAGATTGGTAGCAAAAGGTTATAGACAAATTCATAGAATTGACTATGACGAAACCTTTTCTCGAGTTGTTATGCTGAAATCCATTCGGATAATGCTTGCGATTGCAGCCTATTACGATTACGAAATTTGGTAAATGAATGTCAAGACGGCTTTTCTTAACGGGAACCTCAAAGAGGATGTCTTCATGACACAGCCTGACGATTTTCAAATTGCTGGTTAGTTTGTAAGCTGCAACGTTCAATCTACTGATTGAAACGAGCATCTCGGAGTTGGTACATACGCTTCGACGAAACCATTTCTAGTTTTGGTTTCGAGAAGAACTCTGACGAATCTTGTGTATACAATTCAAGAAGGTCGGTGGGAGTGTTAATGGGTAACGATATTCCCGCTCTACCTTCTGTAAAGACGTGGTTGAGCGAGAACTTCTCCATGAAAGACTTAGGGGATGCTAGCTATGTCCTTGGCATAAGAATCTACCAAGATAGATCAAGAAAGTTAATAGGTCTGAATCAAAGTACATATCTAGATAAAATCCTTTATCGATTTAGCATGTCTAACTCAAAGAAATGATCTTTACCTATGACACTTGGCACAATTCTTTCCAAGAACCAGAGTCCTTCTACTCCCGAGCAGAAGGAACTCATGATGAAGGTTCCATACGCCTCTGCGATTAGATCCATCATGTACACCATGATATGTACTAGACCTGATGTCTCATTCGCTTTAAGCGTGACCAGCAGATACTAGGGAAGTCCAGGAGAAACACACTAGGCAACGGTCAAGAACATCCTCAAGTATCTTCGCAATACTAAGGATACATTCCTGGTATACGGTGGTGAGGAAGAGCTAAAGGTGGTCGGTTACACTGATGCTAGCTTCCAAACCGACATATACGACTCAAAATCACAAGCATGATATTTTTTTGCGTGAATGGTGGTGCTTTTAGCTGGTAGAGCTTCAAGGGAGATACCACCGCTGATTCGACTACAGAGACTGAGTACATAGCTGCTGCCGAGGCAGCTAAAGAAGCTGTTTGGATCAAGAAGTTCATTAGTGAACTTGGAGTGGTTCCTAGTATTAATGACCCTATCTCGTTGTTTTGCGACAAACACTGGGGCCATTGCACATGCAAAGGAACCGCGATCTCACCAGAGAACCAAACATATTATACGATGCTATCACATCATATGAGAAATTGTAGACATAGGAGATGTGATGATTTGCAAAGAAGATACTGACGACAACATAGCCGATCCCTTTACCAAGCCTTTAGGAAAGCTAAATCATGAGGGTCACACTAGGTCCATGGGCATTCGACCGATGCTAGATTGGCCATAGTGCAAGTGGAAGATTGTTGGAGTTGTGCCCTGATGGCCAACTTTTATCATTATTTTATCATTTATAGGCGGATATAATATGTTTACATATCTCATGCTAATGTAAACAAATATTATATTCCTAGATTTTTATTTAAAGATGTTTATCAGATGGTATTTTTCTGCTGATGAGACTAACATTTTGAAATAAATATTTATCTGAATGTCCAAAGTTGAGTATTAACGAGAGCGGGATATCGTTAATGCATGTGAGACTAGTGTGTGTTGGATGTTTGACTTAACCTCATAGTCAATGATGGTGTGTTCGCATCCGCACATGGGCAGATATTATCTAGAGATAATAGGATGCCGAACTGACCCATCCTAAAGATGTTGCTTGAACTTTTAATTCATGTTCTAAGCATCTTTAGCACGACCACGGGTGTAACTATCCTTCGACTTGAAGTATTATGTTTTCTGCATATGTGAACATGCATGCTTTGATGCATTGTCATAAGCCATATGAAATAAGGATGGTATACTAGCTTTGTTTTGTCCTAAGCCATATGAAGTGGCTAATTGATTTTTTTAAGTATTGTATGTAATATATCCGTTTCATGAATAAAGAATAATGAACTATAGACTTTATATTAAGATATCTAAGAAGTAAATGTTACTTTTATTTTGGAAATAAGCAAGAGATTGATTTAAAATGCTGGTTGGACGTAGTGAATACAAATTATAAGATTTTACTCTGTAGTTAGTTTTAATTATACTTGTCTGAATTTAACTTATTTTATCACATTTAATATGGTGTATTTTAAAAATTATTATTTCTAGCTTAATGGTTTTTGCAACGTGGGGTGCAAAGATACAAGACATTGGGAGACTTTGGATGCATCATATCTTGTAACAGTAACAAATAAGGTCTTTGTTATAGTGTATTAAGTGCTATCCCACATTTTTTTATTCTCATAAACCTTGATTCAATGAATTTGTGTTTGTCAAAAAAAATGGATAACACTAAGATACGATAGCAACTTTTACCAACATATAATACTCCGTATTTGTATGTATTTAAAACAATATGATAGTGTAGTGTCACCCCACTTTGTGACTCTTGGACATTATTGTACTCTACCAAAGTTTGCATTATATGCCTAAGTTACCTGTATGGATAGCTTAGATGGTCTAAGGGTGGTTGTCAAACTCGATGTGAATGTTCCACCTTTTCATTATATGCCTAAGTTACCCGTATGTATAGCTCAGATGGTCTTAAGGGTGCAATGGATGTCAAACTCAATGTGAATGTTCCACCTTTGCATTCACTACGCCAAAAACAGTATCAGACGACTGTTGAACACAGTAGTTAAAAAAAACTGTGAGTTTTTCTTGGCTACAGAACAGTAGTCAAGCTATGATACTTTAAAACTATTTTTAAAGTTTCGAGAAACGGTAATCTATCACTAGTTGTCTGTGTTAGTTCAAAATACAGTTTTTGTTACAACAATTGTCAATAACAAGTTAAAAATACTCTATATAAACAGTAGTCCGGTGTTTTAGTCTAGAACTGTTTTTAAACATATTAGAAACAGTTATCTATTGCTTGTTGTGTGTTTCATATGGTTTTTTTGCCACTATTGTTTATAATGGGAATAGAAGACTCTTTTGCAACAGTAGTCTATAAATTAAGAGTAGAACTGTTTTTTAAGTTGTGAGAAACGGTAATCTTTTATTAGTAGTCTGTTTCATCTAAAAATACACTTTTTGTTGCCGCAGTAGTCAATAATTAGTTAAGACTACTATTTCTAATCAATAGTCTGGTTTTTCAGTTTACAACTGTTTTTAAACTTATAAGAAATAGTATTCTATTGTAAGTTGTATGTTTCATATGGTTTTGTTTTGCATAGTTGTTTATTATAAAAATAGAAGACTCCCTTGTAACAGTAGTATATTTATATAGTGTAAAACTATTTTAAGGGTAAAATGTAAATTATTATTACCCATAATCAGAACAGTACATCAATGTCAAATGCCGAACCATAAGGATGGTTCCGTGCATATATAAGACAACAAACATCAACAACCAAAGAGAATACAACAAGCGACTAACCAAAATAAAGAACCATCCAATAAATATCTATGTGATCACACTTTATCAAAGTAGACCAAGTTCACAAGGTTGTCCCGTAAGCCTTCATCCACAATTGCCCTCGGTTTGAGTTCAGAAGCAAGACGTAGATAGGCAGGATCCAACAAAAACAACATCCCAACCCGAGAAAAGAAGCACAGCCACAAGATCCACTTGTTAGCCAAGATAACCCAAGCTCTTCCAAATACCCCAATCAAAAGGGTCAAGACGAGCATTAGGTAGCGTGCCAGCACGACCAAAAAGGCAAAACACAACATAATAACCAACCCCAATTGGATTGGTGTTACCTCCACCATGAGGCAAAACCGGGTAAAGAATCAGCTTCACTTTCAAACAAAAATCAGCCGCAAACAGCTCCAAAAGCAGCGGGGAATACAAGCCAATACGCTGCCCAGAGACACCATAAAACTTCCAAATTAAATTGTTTCAGGTACACCATCAGCAAACCCACCCACAACAGGACTGCCCAAACAGCCCTCAAACAAATGGCAGTAGCATTTTCCACTGTCAACTTCCACAGCGAGGAAGTGACGTTATCCAGCCCATGGTTCCAGCATCCTCTCCGAAAATAGGACTTCTAGGACCAGCAACAAGACATGCCAAGCCCTGTCCCCAATCCTTAGTCACGCAGGAGAAAAACAACAAGTATTAGTGTCCATTCCAGCGAGTCAAAGTCCTTGTTGTTAGAGGCATATAAACCAGCAGTTAGTCTGGTTTTAAGCCATATACCAACTGTCGTCAAGTGTTAGGAAGATCCAATCCATAGCTTGCCTTCAATTCAGCAAACTCATCACCAAAAGTAGTGCAGTTTCTGCATTTCGGTAAGGTCAAAGGCAGCCCCAACCTAGCTGGTCAGAGGTTGAGTTCAGCCACTCCAGAAAGTTTCCAAAGATTGGCATGTTGAAACAAGTCCAAAGCTTAAATTGCAGTTCCAGCCCCACCAGTTATTTGACACAATTCATAGATTCAAAATCCTCCACGAAGCATGAACTAGAGCTCCAGGTTCACGCAATTAACACTTCAAACACAAGCAGTCAAGAATCATGTGCTCTGGGTAGATTTGGGCATTTCCCAGCCCCAACAGCCTACTCATACAGTTCTTAAATGGCTTCAGGTCCTCCTCAACAAAAAACACCCACAAAAAACCAACAGAAGACTCCCATGGTTCTAAAGTCAGGACCATGGTTCAACCCAAAACAAGAGCAAGAATAGAACGGAATATCAACCACAAAAACAAATTCACAACAGCAAAAACAAGTCCATGGTGTCTCTCCTAAAAGTGCATTATAGTTTAACCCTTTCTTGGTCGAAGTGAATCACAAAATCAAAAATGTAGATGAAGAGTAAAAGTAGCGACGTTGACCTCCAATTCGTCGGATTCCATCTTCAAAAATCAGCGATTAGACTCTGATATAGATTCACTTGCTGAAGGCAAATACAGAGCTCCAAAAATCACAAGAATCGAGCCAAAATCAAGGTGGAGATCGGAAGTCAACTTGGCCAAACCTGATTTGCTTGCTATCCGATTCTCGTGGAACCGTGCGCCAAATCCTGTTCGTCTATTGCATCAAATCCGAAAGGAAGGAAGAACAAAAAAGAAATTGTGGGTTTTCCTCTCATCTTTGCTAGCATTTCTGGGATTAAATCTTTATCTCATTTGAGCTGATTTAGGATTTTTGTGATTCTTTATTTGATAGATCCGATCTTTATGGCGGTGAAGAAGAAGAACCCAATTACAATTTTCAAAAAAGTGAAAAGAGAAATTAGGAAGAGGGAGAATGAAATTTAACGGAGGGAAAATGAATTTGGAAAGAGGGAAATTAAAATTTAGAAATCATCCTAAATAGGACTAAAACATAGATAAAAGTACCAAAATAGGACTTTCATGTTTTTTTTCCCGGAATAGGTTTTGCATTGTGGTAATGTGACCTTGCATTGTGGTAATGTGGCAGTGTACATGTGCAAATTACTATGTTTTTTGGTAATGTATATGACCATGGTTCGTAATGTAAGTCCTATTTTGGGAATTAAAACATGGAAGTCCTATTTTGGTATATTTTCAAACTTTTAGTCCTATTTGGGTCTTTCTCCCATTAAAATTGTATAGATTTGGAGGTAAATTTTAAGAAGATTAACTACTTGGTCTGTTCCTGAATGTTTGTCTACTTTTGACTTTTGGAACTGTTCATCTAAGTACTTTGACTTATTAAAATTTCTCAATGTGTAAGCCTAAAAATAGTCATGTGTGATCTTGTTTGATTCGTCTTAACATATAGATTATTAATATTTAATTTTTATAATTTTTTAATATACAAATTACAAGATAAAATAGATTAAAGAAGTGCATTGGATGGTGTGCAAAAATAAAAGTGGACAAACACTCAATGACGGAGGGAGTATATCTGATTGACAAGTATAGATTTGGAGGTAAACTTTAAGAATATTAAAATTGTATAGAAAATTGACAAGTAAATTGATTTTTTTTTAAGATTATATCTGATATTATTGGATTTGAACTTGATTTGATCCGATTAGATCTATTTTGGTCTGATTCAATCTAATTAGATCCGATTTGAAATTGATTTTTTTAATATTTGATCGGATCTTACTAGATATGAATTTGATTTGATATATTTGAAGATTATATATGATCTTATTGGATTTGAATTTGATTTAATTTGATCTGTTTTGGTCTAATTCGATCTAATTTGATCTGATCTTAGGCATTTATAGTTTAAATCATGCAATCAAGACACGACCTATATAATTAATTTGTTTTTTTTTTGAAGATTTGATATGATCTTAATAGATTTGAATTTGATTTGATCTGATCAAATCTATTTTGGTCTGATTCAATCTAATTAGATTTGATATGATGTATTTAAAGATTAGATCAAGCAAATATGACACAGCCTATACAATTAAATTGATTTTTTTCATATTTGATCTGATCTTACTAGATTTGAATTTGATTTGATTCAATATTTTTGAAGATTAGATCTGATCTTATTGGACTTGACTTTGATTTATTTCGATTAGATCCGTTTTTTTCTGATTTAATCTAAATAGTCCGATTAGTTATGTTAAAAACTCTTTTAATTTAATTTGATCTAGTCTAATCTGATATGATGAGATATGATTTCATTAGATATCATCTAAACAACATATAGACATGTTAAATTGAGATGGAGTGGCTCACATGAAATATGCAAGCAATAAGATCTGAGAGCATCCACAATGGCAATATCTCTCATTAGATGCCCAAGTGTGGGCTCCACTATAAAGATGTTATTCTAGCACCTCTCTCAACATCTTATTTTTTCAATGGTAGCATCTCATTTGGATGCCTAAATATTTATTCAATTAATATAGTAGGTGCACTAAAATATATTTATATTTTATTTTTTGTTAATTATAAGTATTTAGTTATATAATAAATTACGGAGTACTACGTATTAATTATACAAAACTTGAAAATATTATATTGAAAAAAAATTATTCTTTATATTTTAAAACTAGTTTGTTCTCCATCAATATAAAAAAAAATCTAAAAAACGACCCATTTGGATGTAAATCCATTTTTTAAGAAAAAAAAATTCTAATTTACAGCTATTTGTAAAAAAACATTTACTTAAAATATTTATTGGAATTACAAAAAAAAAGTCATTGGAAAAGTATTTAAAAAGAGAGCTATTTAAAAAAATTGCCAAAAAAAGAATTGAACTGGATGAATGATTATCACTTGCACTCCTATCCTAAACCTGTCGCTGAGTTTCTAGCTTTGAATCAAAAACCAAAATTATCACTCTTCTCTCAATTGTTTATCTAACTGGATGAATGATTATTTAAATTTTGGATTTAAGAGCATAAATTCAGTGACGAGTTTGGGAAAGAGTATAAGAAGATGGAGGAAGCTTAATTGAGGAGAGAGAAGTATAAATATACAATTTTGTCCACGTTCTTAACGGAATTATTAACAAAGGACCATTCGTGGAAATGAATATAATAATTAGGGACTAAATTAGTAATATTTGATATGTAGGGACTAAATATGTAAAACGACCTATAATTGAGAATGTTTTATAGAATTTACTCTTAGAAAAATTATACTGTTGGGTAGGGATCGACGAATCGAATACATTGATGTAAACGGATTTCAATTCGGAGCAAATTGGTCCAAAAGGTGTGTTTTACTCAGACACGTTATTTTAAATTAGAGAGAACAAAACCCTAGGCATATATATAGAGTAATTTACTTAAATAGGACTAAATCATAATGACTTTCCCAATATAGGACCATATGTTTTTATTTCTCAATGTAGGATTTTTGGTCATTATCAAGTAGTCATTATTCAACTAAATGTCCATCATTACTGGACATTATTCCCCCACAAGGTCATTATTAAGTCATATTTAAGGAATAAAAATGTTTAAGTGCTACATTATGTTTCACATATATATACTCTTTTCACGCCTCCTTCTTCCCCGATCTAGACACGCCGCCACTAGACCTAGCCAGTTTTCCTTCTCTGACGAACTCCGATCACCGTGGCGACTCCCTCTGTCCCGGCGAAGTCCAGCAGCGACGGGGAAGGGCGATATCGCGAGGCCAGTCGACGTCTACGAATGGTCAGCGGCGGGAGACCTCCACCGGCGACGAGGGTAGCAGCGGCGAGAAGGGGGGAGTGGCCTCCATCTTTTCCGGTGAATTAAACAGTGGGGAGTCCAGCGAGCATCCTCTGCTCCGGAGAAAAAAGCAGCGAAGGCGTCTAGAAGGCAGGCCGGCGACGGCGTCTGGGCAGCGACTCCGGCGATATCTGCTATATCTGCAATGTCTCTTTTCACTACCCAATCGCCAACTGGAGTTGTGAGTTTCCTTCTAGTTTCAATCGGATCTGTTAAGTAAATGTAAATGTCGCTAGGCTTTTCTCATTAAAGCCTAACAGTTGTGGATTTATGAAAAGCTACAAATTCTGCATCTATTGTGACTTAGCTTTGATTGTGAATAGATGTCTGCTGCGGCACAGCATGCTTAATGAGACTATTTGACTCATTAGAGTATATTAAGGTCTAATTTATGAACTATTTAGGATAATTGTTGGAGCTGTTTTAAGGTCATGTGTGTGTGTTTTAGTATACTCATAGGTAATATCTTCTATTGTAAACTTCATCACATACCGGGAATAGTAGAAGCTAGAGTTGAGAATATTAATGAAGTATGGAGTGTGTTGCAGGAAGCAGTGCACGGGCTGTGGGATCCAACAATGTGAATGAGCATAGTAGCCGTTCTCACTGGTAAAAAGAAATATTTGATCTGTTCTCCTTCCAACTTGCATCCTTGTCTACATTTTCAAGTGTATTGTATACATATTACTGAATACATATTTTTCTGGAATGTTTGTAGGATTAAGTCATCCCTTAACAGACTTACTTCTCAAGTAAAATCCTACTCAATTGATTTTCTTGTTGTTATTGAGCCAATTGTGGCTCCAAATAAGCTGGACTCCTACATGTTTAAGCTAGGCTTCACGAACTCCCGGGATGTTCTTAACAACAAGGTATGGATATTTTACAATAACGCAAGACTCTTTCTTTGAAAAATCAATGAGCTTGATCAATTGGTCAATTGTACTTTTTGGGACATTTCTAGTAGAGTATATGTCACAATCTCCTCAGTATATGGCAAGCACATAAGAATAGAAAGAAGAACACTCTTGAAAAATATTATTGACACCTCTGTCATTTCACACCAATGGTTTATTGGCAGTGATTTTAATACTATCACTTGTTTAAGTGAGCATAAAGGCAATACTCCTAATCATACTGATATGATTGCAGATTAATCACAAACCTCTACTAGTCACTTGCATAAAGGTTCTTTTCTTCGGTTAGGTTAATCTTTTGGTGATTCAACTCACTATAGGTCTGTATATGTTTCGCTTGCAGATTATCATGGTCACAACGGCGTCAAGAATTGAAGGTCTATATTCCCTTGATTCAATGCTCGATGTTATTGAGGGGACAAATAACTAAATTAGCATGCTCAATGGACAATTAGAATGTAACTTTAATTATGTAAAGATTAAATTATTGGATCCTATTAAGATTTTGGATTGTATATTTGTATGTATTTAGATATTATTCAATATATTGTACATTTTAGAATTTATTTTTGTTTCATGATCAATATTTTAGAATTGAAATGAATTTTAATTATTAAATATAATTGTAAATTGAAATATAGTAGTCTTTCAAAAAGCTTTACAATGTATTTAAACAGTTTTCTAAATCATTAAAGGATGACTACACAAACTTGTATTATTAATAAACGTTAGACAATTTAAACAAACAGTTGTATGAAAAACAACAAATAAGGTTGTGTACATTTTAAAAATACAACACATAATAACAGTTGTTTATGCAAACATACTTAGTTGTCTTCGGCGCAGTAGTCTGATTCATATTCTGACTAGTGTGTAAAATGATAGTTTGAATGTTTTATGAATAACTACAAAAAAACGTTGTTTTATTGAGCACTATACAACTGAAAGAAACGGTTGTTTAAAATATAGCAAAATTAGTAGTCTATATTCTAGAAATACAACAAAAGATAACAGTTGTCTAATCCTATTTTTGTTTAGTAGTCTTCCGAGCAGCAGTCTGATATATCTTTAAATTACTTTTTAAAGTAGATGTCTATATTGTTGAACGACAACACCAAGAATTAGGAGTCTGAAGTTAAAAACAACAGTAGTATTCATTATAGATAGACAACAAAAAATCACAGTTTTCTTTAACTCTAAAAAACAGATGTCTTACTCATACGGGGACAACACTAAAAAGTGGTACTCTAAAACATTACAAAACAGGTGTCGTCAACCATTTTACACAATTGTTTTTAAACAATAGTCTGTAAATATATCAGACAGCTGCTCGGAAGACTACTGAAATCAGCACCGAGAAACTACTAAAAGAAACAGTTGTCAGCCTCTGTTTTTGACGTAGTGATTATATGCCTAAGCTATATTGTCACATGCTTTATCGCATTATCCTATTTACAAAATCTCTTTTAGGATGTAAACTTTTAATACTCCTTATAGCATCTCAAGAAACAAAATGAAGAATCAAATCACATTTCTTTTTCTTTCATCTCGTTTGTAAGTGAGAAATGAGAATGGGAACTATGGGTCTATCATCAAATTAAGTTTCCAGATGATTGTCATATATAGACAGGCGATTCATCTTCCTTTCAGCCAATTTCAACTTATAACAATACCTCAGTGCCTCAATGACTCCAACCCATTGCGGGGTAAAGGGGTCAAATGTACGCAGTCTAATCCCTATGTCTAAAACATAAAGCGATTATTTCCAGATGATCCATGATGACTTGATGATGGTCAAAAGTTGCATTGACTACCTGCTACTTTACTATTGCAAGAGCATATATTTTAAAAAGACAATTTGTTTTATTTCATCATGTCCTAAAGTCGAAAAAATAGTGAATCTTTAGCTCCACAGGGAAATGGATATAAAAATAAAAATTACAAAAAAAAATATTCTCATCAAAGGGGTGATTCAGCCAATCTAATAATCCATACTTTATTTAAAAAGAGGGGAAGTGGTGTTTGTGTTTTTCCGCTCAAGACTGCTAGTCATTACATATGGTGATTGTGAAGTTTAATTATTAATTAATAAAATGAATACTATACGGATTGTGTGTAAACCCTATTCTACACTATAATTAATACATTCTTGATGATCAATTCTTGATCGACGACTGTGATATTACATTGCTTTATTCTACATACGAATCATTAGAAATGGTAAGATTTATGTTGATTATTACTATGTTATTAAAAGTGGAAATAATCAAAAAAGTAATAACTAAAATGGACTATAACTATTATACATATACGGCTTTTAAGAAATAAATCAAAAGGTAAGAATTAAATATCCTTTAAATATATATTTATGTGATGAAATTGTTAAATATTTAAAGATGGTAAGAAATTAAAGGGACAGTGTAATGCAACACACGGATTTTCTTTTCCGAAATTAGACTTTCGATTTTATACAATGGAGAATTGTTTTAAAATAGAAAACTCCATTTCAAAAATAAATAAATTCAAATTTGTAAAATAATAATAAAAATAAAAAATATTGAAGGAGAAAATAATAACAGTGTGGTGCATTATTAAGAATAAAATAAGGATTAAAGGAGAAAAATAAATAAAAATGGTAATCATTAAAAATGGTAAGAAATGGACTTAAATTATTCCACATATTATTCTACATATATGACTATTTAAGAATTAAATAAAAACATAATGATTAAATATCCTTTAAATTGATATTTATGTGATAATGCAGTTAGGTATTTAAAAATGATAAGAAATTAAAAGGACAATGTTATGCAATGCACAGGTTTTCTTTTCCAGAATTATAATTCGAGTTTTATACAATAAAAATTTGTTTAGAAATAAAAAAATTCCTTTTCAAAAAAAATTAAATTTGTAAAGTAAGAATAAAATAAAACATTTATTGAAGAAGAAAATAATAAGAGTTTGGTGCATTATTCTTAAGGATACAACGCAAAATTAATACACACTAATTAATACACTAAATAGTATATAACAAAGACAAATTGTTATGCAATGCAACGCAGACAAATTTTCCACAAACTATACAAATAACATAGTTTATAAAGAAATCTTTCGATATTTGTAAAACAATGGACTTTTGTACCTTAAAATAATAAAATCTCTATATTCTATTAGATAAGAATTTGTATATTTCAAAAATGATCTTAACTTTTAGTAACGTAAATGTAACCCATGCAACGCACGAGAGTGATACTAAACAATAGAAGAAAAAAAATTCTATTAAATAAATTGAGCCCACTTTATCACCCCGTGCGTTGCACGGGTCATTTCAGATAACAACTCTTTGAAATTGGCCCCTTCAAATTGAGTGCCATTATTTGTAATGATCTCCTTTGGTACGTCGTAATGCGTCAGTATGCTCCTACTTACAAACTTTTCGCACTTAACATCGGTGATACTGGCAAAAGGCTTTGCCTCTACTCACTTCGTAAAATAATTGATTGTTACGATTATCGATCAATAGTTTCGTGGCGCTTGGGGAGGAAGTCCCACTATGACAATCCCCCATTGCATACAGGGAATTGACGAGCTGACTGACGTGTGGTTGATTCCAGGGGTTGGCCATGCATTGTTTGGAATTGCTGGCACACTAGACATTTCTTGACGTGTTCGCCACAAGCCCTAAAACCATGTCAGGCAAGAAATAGCCGTGCAAGACATCAGTTCCTTGTTATACTGTATGGGCCTTGAATTAAAGCACAAATACCCTCATGAACCTCGTTCATTACTTGTTGAGTATGTGGCTCGATCATGCAAACATCAAAGTAACGTACCGTTATACGGCTTCTTGTATAGTTTCTCATCTTCGATGGCATACCTTGGAGCTTGGCGCCTTACTAATCTGGCCGCTATCACATCTTGAGCCAATTTGAAGGGGCTAGTTTCAAATAATGATACTCTATTAAATAAATTAGAGCCCAATTCAGCTAAACAATAGAATATAAAAAAATTCGCGCTTGATTAAAAAATCACTGTAAATGAATACAAAATCCAGGCAAGAAGATATCGTGACTCTATAACAAATTGCTTATAAATAACAATACAGTTGCAGAAATCCAAGAGGTTTTTTGGTGAACCATTTGTGGAATGTTTACTCCGTTGTGACACTCTTTGCTAGATTCCGAGGTTGGTCAACATTGTATCCGCGAAGAACAGTTAGATGGTATGCCAATAGCTGTGCAAGAACAAGAAGATCAAACACAAAGATGAGCACATAAAAGGCAGAAAAGTCATTTTTACTTGCTTACCTGCAATGGGATTACGTTAATTACGGGCTGCAAACAGTCCTCAACATGAGGAACCTCAAGGACACGACATGATCCGCTAACACAAACAGATGCTGCATCTCCTTTTGTACACATAACTATCAATCTACCTTTCCGGGCATGGAGCTGCTGAATGACTGATTGTTGTTTGCTGATTTCAAATTTAAAAATATTAGCAATACAAAAGTACAGAAATATGTTCCAATGCATGTGCGCTAACTACGGGGGAAGACTACAAAAGAGTGTACAAATAGAAAATTCACGAGAAGGTGGGGTGTAGATGCTATTGAAGAGAAAAAATGACTGCTTACGTGCACTTAAGCCCTTAAGAGAGTAGGTTTCCCGGAAGAAGAGTGTATCCAAAATATGGTCCAATTCTTCGAGATACAATTTTTAAATGGTACAGTTATTGAAATACACGAAATCTTGTTTATATGAGTACTTTGTAAATAAGTTGTTGATGTTCAGCAGCAACAACAACAACATATCCTTTATAATCCCAACTTCGTTAAAATACGGGGGTCTAGAGGTATGCAACCTTATCCCATGTAAAAAACAAAGAGGCTGTTTTGTTAGATGCTAGATGCATTGATGCTTGTACTCACCAACACTAAATACAATGCAAGAAGCAAGAGAAATTAAATGTGTCATTGACTTTTTAGATCTATTGGCAATGGACACAATTTGATGTTCAACAAACCGTATCATATTTAAGACTCTAACTTGTAACTTTTTGGCAGACTATTGGTAAACTACATGAGAAATCAGTGTCATTTGATGAAATGGGACTTTTTTGGAACAGTTATTAATACTAAAATACTCCTTCGTCCCCTAGTTTTTGTCCACTTTGCCACTTTCAATATGGCACATATACCAAGGTGATGAGTAAAGTGACACAATTACCCCTAGGCTACCCCAGTATCCCACAACTGCCCCTGCTCCCAATTGTTCATCATCCCCGATTTCCACCATCTACCTGCCGCTCAGCCCCACCCCAGATTTCTGCCCCACATGACCACATCCAATCTTGATAGTCTCCACCATCTTGACGGACAGATGAGAAACGATCGTAAGAAGATTCGCAGCACAGCTCATGAGCTAGTCGGATCTGTGGAAGACGAAACACGTTGCTCTGATCGCTGGGAGAAAAAGATCCAGACATGGTGATATAGA